ATAATATAAATCTGGTCAACAATTTTTTAACTTTTTAAAGAATCAATGTAATAACTCGTGTCTTGTACGGGTTTTGAAATTATTATCTATATTTTTAATCTATTTTAGTTATTTTTATATTGTGTATGAGCATATATGTTAGTAGATATCTATATAAATATTATATATATATATATATATATATATATATATATGAGTATCGATTTATAGTGAAATAATTTAATATGTACATATGTATTATTTTAATTTAGATAATTTTTATTTTGAGTAAAGTTTTTAATTACAAATTAGATTTAAATCCAAATTGAATTAGTTTTTTTAAAAGGAAATTTTAATTAGGTTAAAAATTGATAAATACTAATTTAAAAATTTTACTCAAAATATCATTACAATTTCAATTTTAGGTTGAAAGTTGACAAATATTAATTTAAATTTTTTGAGGAATTACATACAAATTATTTATTGTTGTTAATTTATTACTTTGTTTATAGAAGCTTTATAAGTAATCTGTGCATATTTATAGGTGAAACCGTTATTAAGTTATATATTATTTTTTTTTTGTATAACTTGTAAAATAGATAATTTTTAGGTATTTATTTTTAATAAGTAGTATAATTTTTATTATTAAATTTATAACATTTTTTATGAGAAATTATTTTGTTTTAAAAAAAATAAATAATAGAAAAGTGGAAAATAGAAGAAAAAAATATTAAACAAATATAAATACATTATCATAATAACTTATATTATATATAAATATTATATCACTTTTTGGTTTTCACTTTTCTTAAATTTTATTTATCCTTTAACTTATTTATCTATATTTATTTAGAATATTTTTATTTTTACTTACTGTTTGTGGGGATTTTCATTTGTAGGTTCTTTTTATTCGAACTAGTACAACTTCAATTTAGGCGTGTGTGTGACATGACAGGTTCGAGACTTTTGGTGATAAATCATGCCAACAGCAGAGTTAATTGATTAGGGTATTGTTTAGCATAACAGAATATCTATGCTTATCATACAATCAATTTCATGCACGTGAATGTTGATGTAAATCGAATAAACGACATGTATATTGACTGCCAGAAATCATATCCTTCATTTGATGATAACAGAATTACAATTCGTAAGGATAATGAAGAGGATTCAAAAGATTACACTACGCTACACTATGCTACGCTACACTACGCTAAAAAGGAAAAAGAAAGGGTGGTCGAGAAATCGTACCCAGCCTTCTCGTGCATGTGAGCCATATGCGCAGGCGAAGAGTGCTTGGGAGGTGTTGTGAGTGTGAGATTTCTAACCCTTTTCTACGATCATGGCTCGTTAATTTATAGAGATTTGAGGGATCATAATAACTGTATCTGACATGCCACGAATGCATAACCGTTTTAAACCTCCAAGTCGTGGAGTATTCATGCACGTCTTCTAATAACTTTCGGAACCATTTGTAACCCCCAAACCGCTCTGCAGTCTTGATACTTATCCCTTTGATTTACTTTGACCTCTCTTAATCATGTTTCTCCTAAGTTCTTCACCTTGAGAGATTTGCGAAGTATATTCATAAATGTCCGGGTCCTTGGAATTTCGAGTGATTCACGAAAATATACTCAAGTGTTCCTTGATTCTTTTTGTACTTTGAAAGGTTGTGACGCTTCTTCATGAGTAGAGGCTTCAAGTACTTCACGAAAGATGTCTTTGAGTATCTCCTGGTTTTCCTTGTGCTTTGTCTATTTCCAGAACTTATCATTTGCCACTTTCCGATCACCCATGATTTCGAGAGCCCTTTATTTCGAGCCTTCCTAAATTATCTCATTTGGTACTAACATATGCCCCCTGGAAAACATTTGTTTCGAGCTAGTCGAGAAAGAATGTTTTTCAACGTTCTAGTTCTCCTTATCTTTGATGAAACCCTCGCGCGTTGCTTCCTTGGTGCGAATTAAATACCCCTCCCAACATTAATTTCAATTCTTCCTTTTTTCTCCTTCGCAATAAGTTTGGCGGCGCGAATCCCGCTTCCCCAAGATAGTCCATCACCAATTTTAAAAATTTTTGTCCGTTAGTGAATATTTTCAGTTACCATAATTTTGAACTTGAATTTCACCACGGGCTTTTACTGCGTTTTTGTCCATCTCACTCTTTATATTTTGCTTACTCCCATATTTCATCTTTTATGCTTGCCTTGATGAATCCTCGAAAAGTTTATTTCGAGAGAACGGCCCTCGAAACCTCATAGGGCCTCTCTGGCTCTTGCAACTATGGCTTAATGCCATGTTCGAGAAAAAATTAAGACTTCTTCCTCTCCAAGCCTCTATTCGATACTCTCTCGAAGGCGCTCGCTTGACATCTTTGACTCCTAAGAAGAAATTTGTTGATGGTTTTGCCCGTTATGTCCAGGCAATTCTCGAATTTGATAAGTTCTCGAATGATATGGCCCCCTTCATTCGTCTTGATCTGGTAGGACCCTCCTGGTTGATTAGCAATAACCAAGTAGGACAAATTTCTCAAGAAATGGTCGAAATCTGGTTGGGATTCTTATCTTGGGATCTTATTTTTACTGGCATGAAACAAATGGATGTAAGAGTTTATCCCTAACAGCCTCAACTTTTTTCCCGTCAATTCGTCCTTTGTCAGCTTAGACCACTACCTCTCCATCGAAAGGATCGAATTGATTCAGATATACGCGTCGAAGATGGGGATTATGAAGGCTTTTTGAAGTTCATTTTGAGGCCCAATACCCAATTATCTCTTACTTCTTGCTCTTTCCTTCTTGTTTTCCTAGTGTCCAAATGCTACCTTCGATGGTGGTGTGGGTATTACACTGACAAGATGTTTACTTTTGAGGACTTCTCTAAGAAACTTACGAATTCTCCCTTTTCTCTACAGGGCCCGAAGATCCCAGGTACTTACAAAAATCACAACATTATTTATCAATTTGACCAATATTTCAAAATTTGTTATCGCCCTGATAATATGTTTCGAACCATTTTCGATGCATCTTTATCCCTGTCTAAAATGGTACAAAAGAACATCTGTCGAAATAAGGTCATCAATCTTCGAGGTAAAACTGAGTTTGAAAAGCTTTGTCCTGTAAACATACCTTCTTTTCCCACTGGCCTTTTTGGACTTGTGAAATATCTTGATTATCCACCTTGGTGAAGACTCTCGATCCTTCTTATGAGGATAACAAGCCTATCCCTATTAAGGATCGAGTGACGAGTGTCGCAACCCGAAAATTTCCGATCTTGCAACCTATGGTAACAACCATCACTGAAGCCCCAGTGTTGGCCCTCCCTGATTTTTCCAAACCATTTGTTTTGGAAACTGATGCATCGGGGTTAGGAGAAGGTGTTGTTTTGAGTCAGGAATCTCATCCTATAGCCTACTTCTCAAAAAAATTGAATTCGAGGATGCAGAGACAATCTGCTTACATGAGAGAGTTCTATGCTATTACAGAAGCAGTGGCTAAATTTAGACATTATTTGCTGGGTCACAAATTCATCATAAGAACAGATCAGAAAAGCTTGAGGAGTCTTACTAATCAGGCACTCTTGAACCCCGAACAGCAGAATTGGTTGCACAAGCTTTTGGGGTATGATTTCACTATAGAATACAAACCGGGAAAGATAATGTTGTTGCTGATTCCCTTTCTAGATCCTTTTATATGGCATTGTCCCAACCTCAATTACATTTCATTCCAAGGTTGAAAGAAGCACTTCTTGCAGACGCCAAACTGAAAATGATTATGGATGCTTGTTAGCAAAACCAGCCTCCCAATCCTCATTATTCAGTTCAGTAGGGTCTTCTATTTCGGAAAGGAAGATTAGTTCTTCTAGCTGATCATTCCTTAGTCCAACATGTGTTACAAGAGTTCCATGGTTCTGCCACAGGTGGTCATGCTGGTTATTCCAGAACTTTGGCTAGAATTTCTTTTCAATTTTATTGGCAAGGGATGAATGTTGTTATTAAAGAGTTTGTTCAAAATTGCTTAATTTGCTAGCAAGCAAAGACCTCTAATACTATTCCTTCGGGGTTACTACAGCCACTCCCTATTCTGGATTTGATTTGGGAGGACATAGCTATGGATTTCATCACTGGACTTCCCTCATCTCATGGCTTCACAGTAATCATGGTAGTAGTGGATCGGCTATCTAAGTATGGTCATTTCTCTCCTCTGAAAACAGATTACACCAGCAAGCAGGTGGCAGAAAGCTTTGTGACTACTGTGGTTAAACTACATGGATTTCCAAAAACCATAGTTTCAGATAGAGACAGGGTTTTTACTAGCCAATTTTGGCAACACTTATTTAGGTTGAGTGGCACAACTCTTAGCATGTCAACTGCTTATCACCCTCAATCTGACGGACAATCTGAGGCTCTAAACAAGTGTTTGGAAATGTATTTAAGGTGTTTTACATTTCAAAACCCGAAAGAGTGGCTCAAATTCTTGCCGTGGGCAGAATTCTGGTATAACACTTCCTATCACCACAGCGCTGGTATGAGTCCTTTTAAGGTAGTATATGGAAGAGATCCCCCTCAGCTAGTCAAATATGTGCCTGATCCAGCAGATTTGACTTCAGTCCAGGAGCAGTTGTTGCAGAGAGACATCATTCTGTCCAAACTTAAGCATAATCTTCATCGAGCTCAACAAATAATGAAGAAAAATGCGGATCAGAAACGGATGGATGTGGAGTTTAATGTTGGAGACAAAGTGTTGGTCAAGCTACAACCATATAAACAACACTCAGTTGCCTTGAGGAAGAACCAGAAACTAAGTTTGAGGTACTTTGGCCCATTCCCAATTATTGAAAGAATTGGCAAGGTTGCTTACAAGTTGTTGTTACCTGAGACTGCTAAGATTCATCCAGTCTTTCACATCTCACAGCTTAAACTATGTAAGGGACATCATTCTCAATCTTATGTTCCATTACCTATCACTTCCAATGATGCACAACCAGTACTACAACCAGCTGCTATTCTTCAGTCTCGGGTGATTATCAAGGGCACTAAGCATGTTCAACAGCACTTAATCCAATGGGAGGGATTGGATAAC